TGACCACTAATAGAGGTGAGGGAGATAGCTTGACTGCTCCTTGAATTATGGGATGTGACCACACGTCGTTCAGAGATATCCTGCTGTTCACCTGCAACAGGAGCGGTCATTTGAGGAGCCATGTTTTACATCACGTCACTTAGGAATGGGAAAGCCCATCCTCGTATGCATGACAGCGGCTGTCAGATACTCGAGTGGACATGGCCAACTCGCTGAGCGCCGGCGGCCCTCCCTTCTGCTTGGACAAGTGAGGTAAGCTGCATTTATGAGAGTGCGGGCTGTTTCGGCGCCTGTCCGCTCATTCATACTGTGGACGGCCTTCTGACGGGCCTGGAGTATTGTGCCCCCTACCCTCACATCACGGAAAATAAGGGAGGTTTGTCCTCGCGAGCTTGGGACTGTAGGCAGAGCTGGGGATTGTAGGCAGACTTAGGGTCTGCAAGCGGATTTGGGACTGCAGGCAGAGCTGGGGATTGTAGGCAGACTTGAGGTCTGCAGGCGGATTTGGGACTGCAGGCAGAGCTGAGGATTGTAGGCAGACTTGGGGTCTGCAGGCGGATTTGGGACTGCAGGCAGAGCTGGGGATTGCAGGCAGACTTGGGGTCTGCAGGCGGATTTGGGACTGCAGGCGGATTTGAGACTGCAGGCAGAGCTGGGGATTGCAGGCAGACTTGGGGTCTGCAGGCGGATTTACAACTGCAGGCAGACTTGGGGACTGCAAACGAACCTGGGTCTGCAGGCGATCCTCAAGCCGTTAGGCGAGCTCTATAGCATGGATCGAAGAATAGGCCGTAACTTTCAAACCGTAAGTCGGAATTGGACGAATTATATATAAAAATCGCCTATCTCGACGAGATGGAGCCATCCGAACTAAGCCAAAGGCTTTGGTTCGCTGCCTCCGTTTCGCCAAATTCCTTACGGTTTGGGAGATATCTGCGTTTTCCCCTTTTTCTGCTATTTCGGGCGAGTTTTTAGCAGTTTTGTTCTGAACTTCTCTGATAAGGATTAAAGGCAATTTTTATTGCCTACAATATATAAGTATACACTCTCTTATATATGTATAATATATGTGTATATATATATATATTTATACTCTTATATAAATATACTTATACATGTACCTCTTATATAATTATATATCAGTATACTCTCTCTTCTTTATGTATATATCTCTTATATAATTATATATATGTATAATATGTGTGTGTGTGTGTGTGTATATATATATATATATATATATATATATATATATATATATCTTTATGTATATATCTCTTATATAATTATATATATGTATAATATGTGTGTGTGTGTGTGTGTATATATATATATATATATGTATATATATATATATAT